TTACCTTTGCTTGCTTGGATGTCTGGAGCACAAGCTTGTAACCAGGCACCCAGGATTTTGTGTGTGTGTGTGTATGTGTGTGTTTTGTTGTTGATGATCTATACAACGCAGGGTAGGGTAAGTCATGCCCAGGTAGGGTAAATAACTAATAATACTCAATAATGCCTTAAGAATAAACGAAGGAGAAGTAATAGTGCTATCCATATACTCTTTGCGGTGATCCCTTCTCTTTTATCATATAGGATTAAGACAAAAGAACAGTTAACATATGCAATACTTCCAGTGGGAAGGGAACACTCATAGTGTAGAGCTCCTCATTGTGGGAACTGTGTCCAGCAGCACTTGATGTGTTTTTGAAACAATGAAAGATGTGGTTCAAATTCCATTAGACAAGGATGCCCCTTTTGCTTACTGTGTTCTCAGCTTGCCAAGCAAAAGTTCTTGGCAAGTGTTATCATCCTCTTGGCCCTCTGAACTGCCAGTCTTTCAAAGCTTCTCTTATAACACAGATTTATGTTTGTTTATTACCTATCAGATTTCAGCAAAGTATTCTGCCCTACCAGTCCCTAACTATTCCTCTTTGACCTTTTCAGTTTGGTCAGTTGGGGTGTGTGTGAGTGTGTGTGTGTGTTCATCTGTTCATCTTCCTTCATAGTGCTGGGTGCATTCAGCATCATTGTTCCCTTGTTCTCTATACCTGACTCCTCCTCCTTCTCTTCCTCCCCCCCCCCTTTTCTTCTTTTTTTGTGGACTAGTTCTGAACTTGTTGATATGACAGTATTCTTGTCTGTGCCCTGAACTAGTTGCCTCTTAGTGCTGTGGCAGACATATGGTGCTTCCATGCCTGTGGTTGATCTACCTTTCAATAATTCTTTGGAATCCTATAGCAGATATTGAGAACCTATAATATTCTGACCACTGGGTACTCTTCCATGTGACTTTTTAAAGGCTTCTTCAACTCCCAACAGAATGAGCAGTAGTAATGATTATTCAGTGTTATGGGCTTATGTGCAATAAACACATAGTGTTTTATGTAGTTTTACAAAGTGAAAGTGAGAAGAGTTTGTACTCTGGGGAAAACATGCAGCAACAGCATTGGAAGGTGTGCGGTGGTCTTGATAACCTAATGCCATTTAATATCTTTGTGCAGAGATTGGTATAGACTTTTTCCAGTGTTTATCTGCATTATTTGAACATTTGAACTTTATTTGCCAAGCCCATGATAAAACAAAGCATATCAACTGGGTCCTGTAGAAATAGACACTGCTCATAAACGCAGTTCTGAGAGACATCCTGAACTGTATTTTAGAAAGGGGTGCAAGGTTCAGCACACACATGGGATCTTGGCTGTAATAAGCAAAGCCTCTGTTCCTTCAGAATTGTTTTAAAACACTTTATATTTTTGAAATACTGAATCAGAGAAGTCTTTCATGTACTTTTGAGTAGTTAAATTAAACCTTTTCCAATTCAGAATGTTTTAACCTCAATCATAGACCATGTGACATCCAGCCTCTCTTGGAAACATGCAGACTTTTATTTTGTTGTGTTTGAGTTTTGTTCTGTTTTGTGAGACCAAACTGAAGATCACGTAGCATGATTTTTGTTTGTTTGCATTAGAAATATGAACAGTGGTAAATGAGATAGGATAGATTGAAAGGCTAAGAACTGAGAAAAAAATTGTAGGAAGTTTATATACCAGAGTACATTCTACAGTTGCAATTTGATTTAAACTTAGGAGTAGAAGTATTTAATATATACCAAAGGAAATTTTATCAATATATTTGACTCATAGGCAAAAATCACAATTTATTTAAAGTATGTCCTCAAATTTTTTAATAAGAATATAAGGCAAAACTGTTAAGGAATGCTATTTTAAAAAACATGTGAAAGCAGAAAAAATATTATTTCATATAATAAATAATGAGGAGAAACTGGTCCAATGAAGAATAATATGCTGCAAGACTGTAAGTAGATTCAAACACTATTTATATGAGAGTAGCTTTTGCCATTTAAAAATGTATGGGTTTAAATACATCTGAGAATTAATATATGATAAAAATACATTGTAAGTCAGTAGAAAAAGGACATTTTTAAGTCAGTAGACAAGGAATAAATTTTTCACCAAAGTGTTATTATGCATTTGGCTGACTATTCAGGGGGAATAAGTCTACCACAAGTTTTCCACAGCAATCTTTATCCCAAAATTAATTCCAGAAGTTTGAAGTCTTAAAATTAAAGTCTGTAATTGTAAAAGTGCTAGTAGAAAACATGGGCATGGGCAAAATATTTTCATAATTTCCCACTAGCGAAGGCTTTTCCTGTAAAACATGCAACACAGAAACCTTAAAGGAAAAAGGCTGACATACCAGCTCCCCAAGCATCAGAAACAAGTAAGCCAAAAATGAAGAATCAGAAGTAAAATCAGAGTTGTTAATAAATTAGGGAAGATATTTGCATCACACTTGGTCAAAGACCTACTAGCTTGTTATAGAGTGTAGAAAATTAGGAGGAAAAAAAAAACCTAGGAGTCGGCTAAAAGCAAATTTTTACTTGAGATTATGTTTTATTGCCCCGATAGAAATATGGCAAGAAGGTTGAGCTCTCAGCTGAAGTAAGCCCTCTTCCTTAAGTAGCGTTGACCTTGTCACTGCTAGAAGACAAGTGGTCAATGCAGAGATGAGGAGGGAGGGTCATTTTCCATATCCCCCTCTTCATTGGCTCTCTGCCCCTCTTTACCTTCTCCCTTGACATAAAGCAAGGACAAGTTATTTTTTTAGCTTCCTTCAAATAAGTTTCTCCTCTTGTGCCTGTTGGCTTGCAGAAAGGCTATTATCCAGTCTCTGAAGGTTTAGGGATACATCTCATCTCTAGTATGAATTCGGTCCTAGATCAGGGATTGGCGAGTGTGCTGGCTATATCAACTTGATACAACCGGAGTCATCTGATAGAAAGGAACCTCAATTAAGAAAATGCATGTAGAAGATTATACTGTCAACAGAGTAGCCTAAAGTGTGTTTTCTTAATTAATGGTCCATGGGGGAAGGCCCAGTCTGTGGGTGGGACCACCCCTGTACCACTGTTCATGGGTTCTATAAGAAAGCAGGGTGAGCAAGCCATGGAGAGCAAGCCACTAAGCAGTACCCCTTCATGGCCTCTACATCAGCTTGTACCTACAGGTTTCTGCTCTGTTTGAGTTTGTGTCTTGACTTCTCTTGATGATGAACCATAATGTAGAAGCATAGCCAGATAATAATTTTCCTCCCCACGTAGGTTTGGTCATGTTTTTCATCACAACAGCTGTAATCCTGACTAGGACAGCAAGCTTTCTGCAAAAATAAAGGTCACTGGCTTCACAAGCCTCATTGGTTTCTGCTACCTACTTGTCTGCCCCTCCCCTTCTTTTTTCCTCCTCTCCTATGTTTCTTAACTTTTAAAAACCAGCCATTAAAATTTTTTGTTTGTTTATTTTCAATTCTTAGCGGGTTATAGTTTGCTGACCAGTGTTCTGGAGGATTCTTTTAGATATTAAGCCAGCGACTTCCATCTCATCTCTTCTCTGTACGTTTGCATTCAGAGGAGATTGAAGCCTCCTATAATTGATCCTTTTCGGTTTTGCAGCCTTAATTAGATGGTTTTTTGAAGGTTCCTTCCACTTCAAATTCCCTACTCCCTGAAAACTTGAGATTTAGCTTTCATAGGTGTCTTAGGTCATCTATCTACTGCTGTGGTAAAGCACCAGGACTGAAAGCTACTTGGGGAAAAAAGGTCTTTTACCAGCTATAGTCCCACATCACAGCCCATCACTGAAGGAGCCTGAAGGTGAGGTCATGGAGGGGTGCTGCTTTTTGACTTGCCCCTCATGGCTTGCTCAGCCTGCTTTCTTATACTACACAGGACCACCACCCACGGTGATCTGGGCTACCTCCCACATCAATCATCAATCAAGAAAATACCCAACAGACCTGCCTCCAAGCCAATCCTGTAGATGCACTTTTATTTTTTTAATTAAGATTCCTTCTTCCTAGATGGCCCTAGTTTGTGTTAACTTGACATATAAAAAGTAACTGGCACACTGGGTCTGCAAGTGAAATATCTGCTTCTCCATCTCTCCTTCCCCAAATATCTTTTTTCCCTCTCATTTTTATGCCCTCCTTCCTTTTCCATCCAACATTCACTGGGATTTGAGGAGGGAGTGGAGATAAATGCATGTATTTAATCTACTAAATTTAACCAGAAGTTTCCCCCAAATCCAATTTCGTTGGTTTTATTTTTACTACTTTCTTTGATAGTTGTTGGGTTAATTTTGCATTTGTTCTCCACGTGCTCACTTGTTATGCCAGATGTCCAAGAAGATGTCCTTGGGGGAAAAATGAGGGGCTTTAAAATGCAGTGTTCTTAAAATGTTCACAGTGGTTCGGTGTGTGAGATCTCAAGGAGGCTGGGTTCTTTCTAACCACCAGATTCACATCATAGAAATCTGGCTTCACCCTTATTTGTGTAATCCATCAGGAGCATTTTTAAATGTTTGTAATAAACTTTATGGCTTATTGTTTAAAGTTGAATTTAAGGTAGTAAATCAAAGCGTTTGGTGGTGTGCCTCTGGCAGTGGGGAGAGCCTTGTGTAGGTTTCCCAAGAGTTGATCCAAGGGTAATGCCGAAATGTGTGTGTGTGTGTGTGTGTGTGTGTGTGTGTGTGTGTGTGTGTGTGATTGTTTTGATCCTTTAATCCAATGATATATTTTCCACTTCTATTCCAAATACAGAATTGCACTTACTCTCCCCAGTTCAGGTCAACTTGGCAGTATCTGGCACTGCCCTTGCCAAATGGCTCCTGTTCAGGCATAAAACTGCCTTAACCATCAAGTGTGTATGAGGTATGAACAATGATTGTCAGAAACTGGGTATCCTTCAAGTTCTTATTCGTGCCACATTTTTGTTCTAGTGATCAAATGGGAATTGAAAATGAAAAAATGAAAGTGACTGAAGTCTCTTCTGCCCAGGTTCACCCTTCCTTGCCAGTGAGGATGGCGTGCTTGGTGGAGTGATCGTTCTCCGGTCGTGCAGATGTTCTTCAGAGTCTGACTCCTCCCCAAATAAGCAGACGCTTCTAGGTAAGGGGAATGCCCATCTAGTGTGAAGTTACTCTTTTTCTTTTTTTAAGACATGGAAAAGCTTATGTCCTTAAGTCAGCAATTTATACTTCTGATGTCTGTCATTATCCCTTTGCTTGCACTGTTGTCTTTCTATAAATAAATTTACAAAACACTTTTTTAAAGACTGTGCTTAAAGTGTATTTTTAAATGAGATTCATTGGAATCTTATAGCTTGTCTCACTCTCATATCTTATTCCTTGGAACATTAGAGATGACCCTTGAGAGTACATATAATAACATGGAAACAGGATTCTTCCTGTTGCCCTTCCTGTAAAGGACTGTGTGCAGAACTACTGGCCTGGACTTTATTCCTGGTGCCTGGCTTATTAGCTTTGCTCCTGTCACGCAGCACTTGACTGTCCTTTGCCATTTCCTCATCTGGAAATAATAGGGTGCTTGTCACACTTTCCTCATGAAACTGTTTGCAGGAAGGGTTGGCCAGTGAGTGTTTCTGTAGACTGCAGATGTGCATCTGGATCTAGTCTTGTGTCTGGTCAGGAAAGTCTAGCTTCATACCTGCAGGGTGAAGCCATCCTTCCTCCCTAGGACAATTCTCATCAGTATTTGAATTGTGGTCTTCTTTTTTTCCTTTCAGGGTTTTGTTTGTTTGTCTATTTTTCAAGACAGGGTTTTTCTGTGTAGCTCAGGCTGTCTTAGAACTCAACTCTCTGTACACCAGGCTGACCACAAACTCAGAGATCCACCTACCTCTGCCTTCTGAGTGCTGGAATTAAAGACGTGTGCTTTGTGACCTGTGGGCTTTAACCTGTTTTCCCCTTTTCCACCCCACCCCCAGCCTTCCCAGCTCAGGCTTCCCTTTTCTGTCCTCTCATAGACAGTTCACACCTGCTGTCTACTAGCAGAGTTTTCTCTGTAACACACCTGCAGCTGGGTTGATAACCCAACCATGGACCTAAGCCAAGGGCAATTGGGAAAGAAGACATTGGCCCAAAGCAAAAAAGGACAAAGGTGAAAATATGACCAGAAGAACAACACCAACCCCAGGATCAGACTAGCCTAAATAAGAGTAAATTTTTGTGAATAATTTGTACATATTTAAATTGAAAGGTGTGTATCTTTCTAAAATGTGCTGAAATAAGACCAGAATATGTATCTGTTAACTTTATTTTTATGTTCTCTACTATTTTATCATTAGTTTTTTCTTGCTCAGGCTAGATTCAAATTACCTATCCTTGCATCTCAGCCTCTCCATTGCTGGAATTACACGTGTATTCCACTATGTCTGACTTTTACTTTTGATTGACATATAGTTATACACATGAATAGTGTACAATGTGTGTTTCATTTCATATCTATGCATTGTATACAGATCAAATCTGACCAATTAGTACATCTGTCACTTGAGTTTATTATTTCTTTGTCCATAGAATATCTAAAATACTCCCTTGCAGCTACTTTGAAATATACAGTAAATCCTGGGTAGCTGTATTCACTTTGGTGGGCAATAGAACTTATTCTTATTCCTGCCATCTGCCTGCAGTACAGTACATGTCCCTAAGTGCCAACCTTGCTTCTTTCCCCGGACTTAGGAAGCATTTGAGCCACTCTCAGTTTCTATGGAATCAGCCTTTTCAGATTCTGTATATGTTATGCTCACTACTTTTACACTTTTATTGAGGAAACACACACACACACATACACACACACAAACCCCTCTGGGTTACTTTCGGATCTGCAAGATGGATGCCAGTTACCTAACCTAATTGGAAGAGTTCCCACTTCCCCTCTAACAGCTTAAACAGCATGCTCAAGTATCATTTTCAACTCATTCTTTATTACCTAGACTCATTACCAATGTCCCAAGTCCTTGTCTTTCGGATAGCATTTCCAAGGGGCTATCTCCACCCACCCCGGCCCCAGTCACTTGCCCTCACTATTGCATTTTTCTTGGAAATGCACTGTCCTAGTAACCCACTTTTAAGGCCTTGTTCAAATGTGGGCGTCTGGAAGAGTTTCCTCCTGCGTGTTTGCTCCTTCCTTATGCTCTGCTAGTACCATGTGGTTTACGTCTTTGCGACACTTATCAGGGAACTCCAGTCAGATCCTAAAGTGCTTTCCTCTCTTACTAGACTGGGTGCTTTTCCCTCCAGTTATGTAAATAACTGGAGAAATCACAGGTCACCGAGAATCAGAGAGGGGGTAGGAATTTGGTAACCTTTCTCTGGATTAGTGCATTCTTCCCTCTGTCAAGCGTCTCGCACACTGGAAGCAAGTAGGGGCCAGGTGCTGTGTCACTGAAATTTCTGCTCATCTCTGTAGTAGGCTTCCAGTAATTCTTAAATATGTGAATTTAAATGTCAAATATAGTTCCTGTATTATCTTAGCAGTTCCCCCATGTGACCATGGATATGATTATAGGTGTGCATATGTGAAGATTAGAAAAGAGTGTCTGGTGTTCTCGCCTTCCTCCTCCTCATCTGACAGGGCTTGCCTTGTTCATCATATTGCTTCATACTCCAGGCTAGCTGGCCCATGAGCAGCTCATGATTTCTCGTGTGTCGTCTTTCCATCTCCCATTGGGGAATGACTCTATCTAGCTGTTATGTGAATTCTGGGGATGGAAACGCAGCAGCCAGCATTTGCCCACTGAGCCATTTCTCTAGCCCCAGAACCAACTTTTGTGAATTCACTACTCTTTCAAGTAAAATGAAATGTCACATAAAATATCCTCATATGTTCTAAAAAACAAATGCCATAGGTTTAAAATTTGGCTAATGAGTGTCCAGTAATGTGATTTAGAGAGACAGTTGAAATGACTCCCAGAAGATAGCTTCTGTATCCAGCCTTGTATAGGGACAGTGTGGCCACAGACTGTTTGCAACACTTGTCTGCCATGTCCCACTTCTCAGATCAAGAGATGCTGACAAACCCCAGCATACAAAATGTACATTTAACACACAGAAAATTTTGTCTCTGGATGAGACAGCTGAAAAGAATTACTTTTCTATGCTTTTAGAGGGAGGTAAAAAGCCAATACAATGTATTTTTACCTAATAAAATACAATTGCATGTTTGTCAGGCCTTATAGACATGTTTTCTGAGGCTGATGGACATAGTATGGTTAAAAATGTACAAACAGGCTAGCAAGATAGCTCAACAGTCAAAAGCACTGACTGGTTTACTAGAGATCTTGGGTTTCATAGCCAGGACCCACATGGTTATTCAGTATTCTGGCCTCCCTGAGCACCAGACATGCACATGGTGGCATAGATACTTGTAGGCAAAATACACATACATGTTAAAATAAAATAATATTTTAAAATGTGCAATCAAAGTCTCATTAGGCCCTCCAGTGAGAACAGTGAGTGTGTTGCTAATTTAAGCTTGTGATGGAGAGGTAATTAGAACATATGCAGATATTTTCCATAAGCAACCAATCTGCTACGGGGAACATTTCCTTCTTCGTATTCTCTACCCCGTGTCTTGATTGGAGCCTATAAAGTTATAGATTTTCTCCCTTAATTGGTCAGTAGGTGTGACTGGTCAGTGTGAAATCGGCTCCATGTATTTGAGGAAAATCTTAAGCCATCTTAAGCACAAAATAGATGTGTATATTTGGCAGTCACCTTTGGTTCAGGGCTCTGTTGCAGTCTTTCATATTAGACAGGATTTCAGACTCACAGTTACCTAGAGTCTGATCATCTCATCAGCGCACATGGTGGTTGTTACTTTGCCATTAAGTTAATCCCACTTTACTTAGAGAATAACTCTGATTCTTTCTATCTGGAAATGTGTTTATGTTGCTGCTAATTAAATTTTGAGTATGATACGCTTCCATTTCTATAGTTATCCCTTTACCCACCCCTTGTGTTTTTCATCTTTTACTGTGCAATGTTTCATATATGTTTTAAAGAAGGACATAATAAATTTGTGAGTTATAAAGGGTAATAATAAAAGGAACACCTGTGGGCCTGACGCCCAGCCCAAGACATTACCCATTACCCGTATCTTTGAAACCCCATGTGGGCCTCTCTGATCTTACAGCCTTCTTTTCCTGAGCTTTTATTTCATGGTTGCCTTTGAGTTTTCCTTAAACCCCTTTCATATTTCTATGTATCTGAAAGGTATGTTGTTGGGTAGTGCTTGATTTTGAACTTTTATGAGAATTTCTTTGGTCCTTTTCATAGCTAACTGAAAGGATAACGAGTTCCTTTATCATTTTCTACTTAACTCTATCGAATCAAACTGTTCTGCAGTTGCCAATTAAAACTTCACTGTGATGCCTCGCTCTGCCACTCCACTACCAGAACAGAGTTCTTTGTGGAGTACTTTTTGTTGTAGTCTTGTTTTTCCTATTTCCAGAACATGCTGTAGAGTTTTTGTTTTGTTTTTAATGTTACATTGATTTGATGCTTCCTGAAAAATTCAGAGCATAAAAAGTCATCTTACTGTAACTTAAAAATTCCTCCAGACTTTTGGTTTTACTGGCATCAGAAATTTGGCAAGCCTATTAATGTGTGTGTTCAAAGGAGCTTCTCCCTGGGGCACCAACAGCGCTGCTTCTTTTCATCACGTGGCGTTAGCTTCTGCGAGCACCTATGACAGGGCCCTCTGGGAGGTCCCCATGGTCATGAAGCTAACCGGCAAAGAGAAAGCAAATTCCCTCCTAGGACAGGGGAGAGAAAATGGCCATGTGGATATTTGTCTGACGTTGCTGAATGACCTGCAAAGCGGAATTAAAGCTTTCTTTCCGTGAGGATCTCTGTGATCTCCCACAGTGGGAAGCTCATTTCTTTTGTGCCTCAGAAGTTCTGGGGAGGTTTTCCATCTCCACTGATGTCTGGAAAGATGGATTGACATTTTAGTATTTCTTTAAGGTCAAGAGGCTGATAAAGTACCAGAGTTGTTGTTAAAGAAATAAGCAGTTATAATATTTAAGCATTTTATCAGCTGAGAGTAACATTAGCAAATAGGGGTGGTGCTCTGTGATTTTTATT